TGTTATTACTCACCCCAACATGACATTTTTCTGTCTCCCTCCCCGCGTCCGCCTCCCCGGGTGACTTGCTATGTCATTTCTTGGCTTTGCACAAATGGGATTTTCCCAATTTCTGTCTTTTTCTAACAGAACAAATAGAACAGCTTCTAATTTGAAAGTAGGACACGAGTCTATATTAGTTAATGTGTAAATACACAAATGGTGAGTTTACCTTCCTTAATTTGCTCTTCTTTCGTCGAATACACTCAACAATATGAAGGAATCAGATACAATAAGATTCTAGATATCGGAATAATGTTAAACAATCTTTAAACTTTATTAATATCTTAAAACGATTCTAGATTATGGCAGCGTATCGCGTGTTTCTGCAATAAAATCTTTGCAATTGATCCACGCTGCTACAATTGTCGACCGTCTGCATCCGTGTGTTTGTGTGTATGTTCGTTTAAACAAGTTAACCTTGATATGAAATAGGGTTACAGTTGTGGGCACCTACTGGTGATCGAATTTAGGCCCCAGCTTGCGAATTATAGCTCTCGCCAGGCACTGTTTTAGTCGATTTGAAATTTTAATTTAATCAAATAATTAAACTTAAATTCATATTGAACGAAACAAGCAAAATTGTAATAAATTAATTACCTATATATCGACGTGACGTGGCCTCTCTCTTTTCTACAATTATTTTCATGGCAACTGTTCTGACGAAGCCTTTTTTTCCTCTGGTGTTCCGACGACATGAATTTAGGCGCAGTACTTGATTGGCACTTTGGTCCCAACCGTTTACTGTTAAAATAGGTAAATGCAATTTCTACTCCAACAGTTTATTTTCTTGGACTTTTCACCTGTGGAACTCCCTTCCGTTTACTTGTTTCCCTGATAACTGCAATCTTCAAAAAATTAAATGCAACATCAATCGCTATCTTCTGTCTTCTTGAATCCCGTTCACTTTTTGTCCTTTCCTCAATCCTCCCCTATTCTCAATGTTTTCTCTCGTTTTCACTCTCTGCAGCACCCTCCGTACTAGGCATTACCGCCTTGCTTGAGGTGAAATGAGTTTTAAAAAATTGCAAAAATTTGTTAACATTTAGGCGATTGTCCTCATACTTGTTGATATTATGACAACCTTTCGATCGTTGTGCCTTCCGGCCTTCTTCAGACTAGCTTTGTGGATTTTTTGTGCGTTTGATGGCCTAGTAATCTCGAGTTCAATCCTTTAGCTTGGTAATACAGACTTGGACTCAATGGAAACATGGCGAGCAATAACTGAGCAGTTTTAAATAAGACGAGATATCCTTAGACATGGTCAGCGGAACGAGAAAAATTTATGCTAGTAGATTAAATAAAGTGTTCACTTCGAAAATTCGCTGATGTTAACCAGGTCAAAAGACGCCTGAAAAAGGCCGGAGAGCCCAACGATCGAAATGTTATGATCGTAATAACACAGAATGTAACACCATATCCCAGGTATTCAGGCAGAAAAAAATGTTATTTTTAAAACTACACTGTGTCCGGATATAATTTAATGATAAAAAAAAAATTCTATAATTTTTTTTTATCCCGCTGCGTGCAAACATAAATTCTGTCATGAAAATATCAAGTAACAGACAAAACAAGCACACCATTTTATTTTTTTTTAACACGAGATATTTCTTCTTTTTTTTTTTCATCAAAGAATATAAATAGTTATTTGACCCAGACAGAAGTCACTGGTCGATCTTTATTTGTGTATAGGGTCTGAAAACAGAACAACAAATCGCAAATCAATTTTAATAAAATATACAAACGTATATATTTTTATTCGATTTTCGTCTTCTGCACAAAACGAGAAACGGCGCCATACGGTATAAAGGGAGGTAACTCTCAGTTCCTTATCGTTCTGAAAAAAAAAAAGTGCTATGGCTTTACATTGCTAAAATCGTTAATGTCTATATTCGCTTGGTGCATGTGATGTTCGAATTGATTATTGTCCTACGTTAATCGCAAAACTCGGCTCTGCTGCCGGTCTGAAAAAAATACCAAAAATTGCATGTCAGTTGATTGCTTCATTACAATGATTGTCTTGAGGTCTGATAAGAAGTTTTCAACCGTGACTAAAATAACTTGAGAATTTAAACCTATTTCAAATAAATATAATTTAAACCTATTTCAAATAAATATAATTAAACCTATTTTAAATAAATATAATTAAACCTATTTCAAATAAATATAATTTAAACCTATTTCAAATAAATATAATTAAACCTATTTCAAATAAATATAATTAAACCTATTTCAAATAAATATAATTAAACCTATTTCAAATAAATATAATTAAACCTATTTCAAATAAATATAATTTAAACCTATTTCAAATAAATATAATTAAACCTATTTCAAATATAATTTTAGAATTAATTTAAGTGCATACACACAAACACTAGTGTTATATTTTATGTATGTTCTACGAAGATTAAACATTCAAATTACATATTTTTTAAATAATTTAATCGAAATATTGTGACCACATGATATTAATTAATTGATTTATTTTTTTATGGCTTATCAACTTTTTGCAGGTTATTTAAAGCCAGAAAATATTTTTAGTTTGTATGAATTTTTTGAAGATGATAATAGTTTACTGATGTAATCCTACTGATTAACCCATAGCCGGGGTGTGAGAAGAGGTTGATTCATATCTTTCCCAAGACGACGTCGTAATAATGAAAGAGTGACAGAAAAACATTGTGTGCGCACTCGTGTGTCTGCGTGTACCTATGTGTGTGCATATATGTGATATGTGTGTGCGTGTGTATGCGTGCTTGTGTGTAAATGCCTGTGATGCGTGAGTGTTTGATCTGTGTGTATGTAGGCGATGTGTATGCGCGTGTACGCCCGTGTACTAGGTAGAGATAGATAGACGGGTGAGAGTGTATGTGTGTGAGAGACAGAGACACGCCTAAACAGACAGAATGTGTGTGCATGTGTGTGAGAAAGAGAAAGAGAAAAGGACAGACAGACGGTATCTACGTGTGTTTGTGTAAGAGACAGACAGACGAACAACGTGTGTGTGAAAATAAAACAGACAGTTACAGACAGACGAACAGATAGTGAGAGAGAGAGAGAGAGAGAGAGAGATAGGCGTGTGGGGAGAGGGAGAAAGTGAGAAAGAGTTTAGAAGGAGGGAGAAAACGCCAAATTCATTTACTGATTTCTTTGAACTTGTATTCTTATCTTGGTTGTTATCGTTCGAAAATTTCGGCCATTTTCAGCTCCCTCTTGTGCTTACACTACATTTTTGGAATTTCGAATTGAAATTTTTTATTCACCCTACGGGGTGTAGACTGATTTCATTCCAGGCAAGAGAATATAACTCATATCAGTTGACTTGTTTTTTAATCATTCCTTGAAAAATGACATTTATGGCCGAGTACCAAATTAAGATATGTTTATATTTTTAATGTTTTTGGTTTTTTTTTATTAAACTTGCAATTGAATAAGTTATATTTTTGCAGGAATAATCTAGGACAATTAACTCTATTATCACAATTTAGAAAGAATTGTATTTTTTTATGCCATGAAAAGTAAAATTATCCGCATTTAGCTTATACGAAACTTACATGAATTTATATTAAATATTCACTAGTTTACAAGTACAATAAAAATGGCGGCCATATTCAAATAATTTTGCAATGCCGTTGCTCAAGGGAAGTAAGCCTATTAATATGGAAAAGAATGAAGATTTTCACTGTTCCGTTGAACTCTCTTCCTTAGGGCGGGAGGAACCCGAAGCAGGCTACGCCGAAGGGCGGAGTCTCTTTCGGGGAGGTAAAACCGGCCCTGAACCCGTTTATACGGGTTCAATGGGCATATTTTTGGCCGAGCCCACGGGCTCGGAATGCCCACGGGCTCGGAATGCCCACGTTAAAAAAGCCTTGTGCCACATGACACCCTCGTTTGCGGGTGACTGAATATAGTCTGAATATTTGGTCTGGGGCACCTCGAGTCGGTATAATGGTTAGTAAGTTTATCTCGCTAGAACAATTACGACTGAGTAGTGAGTTCGATCCTCACTGGGTGCCCCCTACTTTTGGCCTTGTGCCACATCTAAGCTACGCTTGGAAAATTAATATATTATTTGGTCTGTACCTTTTGAGTCGGACAATTTTGGAAAGGGGAAAGTACATTCTTATAGTGAAAAAGGGTGCTTTAGGCAAAAAAAAGTTTGACAATCACTATTCTAGATTGTTTGTTAAATAGTTGGACTTGTATCACGAAAATCTGTGTTCTCAAAAAAAATTGTTCATGCAATATTCACTCGCAAAAAAAGAATTATTTGTGTTAAGAATCAATCCATCAATCAATCTACCTATAAACTAAAATGGCCACCATTCTCAAAATGGATATCAATGTTTGGTTTGGTTTATTTGTTTTACGGCCTATCAACCTCAGTGGGTTATTTAATGCCGACAAGAGTTTTAGATTATATTCATATGAATAGAATATGTATTCTTTGTAAGAAGTTAGTTTGTAGATCAGGTGTCAATGAAGTATTTTTTCAGAAATGTATTGCTATTTCTACTATAATAATCTGTTTATACTTTTATAGTGTTTAGGTGTTAATATCTAGGACTCTAACAGGTGCTACTACTTCGGGTCAAGATGAACCTGGGAACAACAGCAATTAAGAGGGGGTTCCACGCTCCTCAAAACATCCCCGTCAGAGGCCTTGCTGCCGGATTTAGTTTATCGTCTTACCCAAGATGCGGATGTAGTTAATCCTTATAACCAGGACGAGGATTTATAAAGATTTTTAATCCTAAGGTGAATCAGTTTAATCTTTGGAAATGCAGGGGAGGAGTGGTTTTCCATTGCATTCTACTCCCTTTTTGAATCCAGAGATGCCAAATAAGGTGGCCGTCACTCAAGTTTAAACTTCCCTACTATTTAACTCATAGAAAGGGGAGAGGAAAGATAACGCGTGTTTTTATAAGGAAATTGGCGCGAAAGCCTAGACCGGAATTTGAACTCGACTTGAACAATTCTACTTTCCGAGTTAATAAGCGTCACGCTATCAACTCATATCTATTTATTTATTTATTTTTTGAATTACCATACTGACGATAATATCATTTAACCACAATGAAAGCTAAATATTTGTTCACTCAGGCGGCAAATGTAACCTAACCCACTTTAAGTCGTAAGTATTTCACGGCGCCAATCGAAGCGTGACCATTTACGAACAATACTCGTTGACCAATTCGTGAGATTAATGAATTCGCTTCTCACTGAATGCTTAACTAAAATGGCCTTGCGCCAGGTAAAGCGAAGTTAGTAAATAAAAATGGCTAATTCTTTGTGTTCTGGAATATTTACATCTGGTGTATAACAACAGGGCCGGTATAAAGAGTTTTGTGCACCGGCCCCCGAATCTATTAGACAAAATTTCTTAAAGACTAACAAGATTTTGTCTTTTATTAATTTGTCTTGTGTTTGTAAAAAAAGTTTTCTTTTCTGGACACAAAGTTAAAAGTGCCCAAATATTCTGCATATCTGAACATTTTCGGCTATTCTTTTCGTCATTATCAAGGATGATGTTTTTTTTTTATTTTTAACTGAGAGTATTTTTTTTTTTTACATATACAACTCGACTTATAGGAATTATTTTTTTCCTTCCAGACATGGTCAGCACATTGTGGCCGTGTTCATAGTTGATGCTATTGAGTGTTGGCTTTTTCTTCTTTTTTATTCTTAATGCTTCCATTGTTTTTAGCCATCTTTTGCATGTGAATGAAGCAATTATACAATCCTTAATAAAGGTTAATTGAATAACCGAAACGGCGCTCGGATATACAGAAAAATTATTATAAACTTTAAACCCTTTATGTCTATAAACGAAAACACACATACAAACACAAGAAAAATAAAATAAAAAGCTTAATTTGCAGTACCTTGTCGATCATCCTTAATGAAAATTGTATAAAAGAGGATTATTGCCCCAATACAGAATTATATATATATATATATATATATATATATATATATATATATATATATATATATATATATTGATAATATTAGTGTTCAAGATAGATAGATAGATAGATAGATAGATAGATAGATAAATTTCAAGAGGATAGAATCCAGGTAGAACTCAATGTCCAGGACAGAGTAAGAATATAATATATAAAGGCTTAAACACTAATATTCCATGGTTAAAATTTATTACATTGGAATCATAATCACGATCCAATTCATCAGAATGGGATCGTGATTATAATCCCAATGTAATAAATTATAACCATGGAATATTAGCGTTTGAATATATATATATATATATATATATATATATATATATATATATATATATATATATATATATATATACCTGTGTGTGTGTGCGTGTGTGTGTGTGTGTTTGGTGCCTCGTTCCCAACAACCGTTAGACATGACGTCACGGTAGACAATTTCGAACTTCCAGCTTTCCAAAGAATACCAGAATGGAAACAAAAGAATTTTTGCTTGCCACACAGACATCGCATTGGTTCTTGAAAATGACCGAGACAGTCGAAAGTACTTGAATAAAAGAATAATGTAATGCACATATTTTATCCACAACTTCGAGCATAATATATTAAAACTTGTTTAAATGTCTACTTGCTGCCTAAATATGCCTTATGAATACTGGACTCTCCCATCGATTTTTCCTAGAAAATCGACAATGAGACGACCCACACGAATTATTTGATTATAATGGTGAAAGTTTTGCGCAGAACCATCCACACTTATTGAAGAGCCAAATACAGAGACCTGGTGCTAGATGTGCCACAAAGTCCTCAAACGACCCTCTGTAGGATTTTGAATTTAGAGTTGTCCTTCTCTTAGAATTTTTACCTACTACACGGACACCATATTGGTTCTTGAAAATGACTGAGACATTTGAAAGCACTTGAATAAAAGAATAATGCAATTCGAATATTTTATCACAACGTGTATATATATATATATATATATATATATATATATATATACTGTGTGTTTATATATGTGTATTAATGAAAATTCACAAATGCAATATATATATATATATATATATATATATATATATATATATTGTTTTGAAACCGCCAAGTCTGACGAAGCGAAATCGAATTCTCGATTTTGCAAAATAAAATATTACCATTGCTTTCTGAAGTCTCCGATGTGTTAATTATATATATATATATATATGTGTGTGTGTGTGTGTGTGTGTGTGTGTGTGTGTGTGTGTGTGTGTTAAGGCAGCGTTAAAGCATACTTGGTTGAATAATCTGGGCATATTATGTCAATTTATTTTATTTTAATCCTCTCAAATTCTCGGATCGACTTCTTAATGTTGATGTTAAATTCATTAAGGTAAGCGTCGCATTTCTTTCCATTTCTTTTATTTTCCCAAGTAGTTTCAATCTCATCCAAGATCATCTTCAGGAGTGAATCGCTAAGACAAAAAAAAAATAATGTAATTGATAGTTCTTTTGTAAATGTGCATGAAACGCGCTCTGTAATGTATTTTTAATCGGAATCACCTCAAGCTTCATTTTTCTGGAGGATAGCATCAGCCATGCATGTGGAAAGCAGCAATAGGTCTCTCGGGTGATTAGTAGGGAGTTTAGTATTGGAGGCGTTAAAATTAGCAAGCCGTCAGTTAACTAAAGACTTGAGGTCATTTTGGACATTGACTGACTTTTTGACCTTGTCAGATCGATATGCCTGACTATTCTGGCAGGTGTAAATTGTTGTGTCATCAGTGTAGATGCCAATTTGAGAGCTGATGTCATCAGGAAGCTCATTAATTAAATTTAAAAATAGAGGAGGACCAAGGATGGAGTTTTGGGGGATACCCACGTTTGTACGAAAGGATGTAGACGAGTGGTCGTTCAGGATGACACTCATTTCACAAAAGAGTGGATCAGTTCAAAAAGTGTCCGGAGACACCGTAACTTTTCAGCTTGTGGAGAAAACCCTGTCAAAAATTAACTGTTCAAGCTATTATGTTTTTTTTTTTTTTGTTTTGTTTTTTTTTTTTTTTGCGGGGTTAACTTTAATCTAAGGGAGGTAGCTTTAATTTATATAATTGTAATTTTTTATTATTTTTTATTATTACAATTTAAAAACATTGCTATTATAGATATTTTAAAACATTGTTGCTATATTCATAACTAACCTTATTTAGTGTTGGTTGTATTTTTCTCATAGAAAGAGCCTCAAGAATTTAAAGTTTTTGTTTTTTAGTTTCATGGTGGAGTATATTTGCATTGTCAAGTAATATTTCTCTAAATTGTGTATGCGGATATGAACTTGAATCGAACATATGTAACGTAAGTCTCCTTGATAATGTTCTTATCGTGAAACCAACATACATATTTACTTTTCTGTCAGAGATGCAATCTCACAAAGGACATTCAAATTGAAATACGTAGTTAGTCTTATGCGAAACATTAGTTGACGGAGAAGAATTATTGCCGATGATTAAGTTGGTTGTATTAAATTTAATAAAGTATATAATTAGTTTTATTTTTAATGGGATCAGTAGGGGATATATTAGTACTTATGAGAATTTTTTAGGAGTGTTTTCATCATGTATTTAACTGCGGTACTGTAGGTTGATATGTTTACGGTAATTTGAGAAATATTGTGTTCTTTTTTATTTGTTAATATTTCTCATGGCTACGGCACCTTTCTTAATGAATTTAATTTAATATCAACATTAAAAATTTGATCAAAAGAATTCAAGTGGACTAAAATAAAAATAAATAGACACACACACACACACACATTGTAAACATATATATATATATATATATATATATATATATATATATATATATATATATATATATATATATATATATATATATATATTCGTGTTTTCAATTCGTATTCTATTGGATAACGAGCTCTGGTATCTAACTATGGAAATACACAATTCATTTCTACCGGTCCGCCTTTTTTTTTCTCAAAGAACAAAACTGAACCACAAAGAATTTGTTCGCCTAAATTATTCGCTTTCTTACGCTGAATACTTGAATAAATCAAGCAAAAAACAAAGCTCTTCACACATCTCGCGACTGCCGAGATTTCAACAGTTCAAAGAAACCATTGTTCTCACGTTCCCGTCATCCTTTTCGCTTTCTTTATTCCTTCCTTTTTCATAGCGTCTCTTTCGTATTGTCTTTTTAATAGATTTTTTCATTCTCCTTCGTTTTAATAGAATTTTTCATTCTCCTTTCTTTCCTTAGTTATTTTGTATCGTTCTTATTTTTGTGTTTAGTTATGTCTGGCTTTTCCACTTTCATTGTAGCATCTTTCTTATCGCATTTCAAACTTTTATTCCTATTTATTCATTTTTTTTTTATTCTATTTTCCCTTTTTCTTTCCTTTTCTTACTATTTTGTCTTCCAATTTTCATTGGTTTAACGATTCTTTTTTTTCTTTTGTCGATCTTTCTACTATTCTTTTTCTTTTTGCTCGCCATTATTTCGTCTTTTTTTCACCATTCCTCCTTTCCCATTCTTTTTGTCTTTTTCGTTCTTTTTCTAACCGTTCTTTCATTTTCTCTCTCTCTCTCTCTCTCTCTCTCTCTCTCTCTTTTTTCTTTCTTTATCTCTTTCTTTATTTCGCAATTCTTTCTTTCTTTCTTTTTATCATTCTTTCTTCATTTCTGTCTGTATGCTCTAACTTTTCTTTCTTTTTTCGCCATTCCTTATTTTTTATTTTTCTTTCCATCTTAATTTCTTTCTTTCTTTCTCTCTTTCTGTCTGATCGCATTATTAAACCAGCTTCTCATAGTCTTTCTGTCTATCTCCCTATCTATTCGTTATTTATCTACCTACCAATCTGTCTCATTCTCTTCATTATCTATCTTCTTTTAGTTGCTGCTTCTTTTTCTCTCTTCTTTTTTCTTGTGTCATTTCTTTCTTTCTCCATTCTTTCTTTCTTTCTTTCATTCATTCTTTCTTTCTTAATTTTGTCTCTCATTTCTTAAATCCGACATTTTTATGCTAACGCTCTAATTGAATTATTTATTTTCATCTTCCGCTTTTTCGATCATTGATTTTCCTTTGGATTTTTACTCCTAACGTTTTCATTTTACGCTCCATGTTTCTGTGTTTATTCACTTTTTTTTATTCGTTCCCTTCATTGTCAATTTCTTCTCTTAACGAATTAATCGTTACTTTTTTTAATCGTTAACTTTTTTCCCCTTGATATCGCAGTATTTTACAACGCTTAAAAAGTGATTCTATTTGTCCCTGATTAGTTTTAAACTGTTTTTCTGATCATCGGCTGCTATTTTGATGTTTCGTTCTCGGGTGCCTGGGTCACTTGAAATGGAGGTTTACTTCCTACTACTGCTGGATTCGATCTGAATATCAAAATGAAATATCCCAACGTTGTAGTATGATTTATTAACTGACTAGCAGTAGAGCCCAGCGTTGCCCGGGGATGTAACAGTAAGAGATAGATCAAGTATCGACCATCATAAAGACTGAAAAATAAAATTGACAAAGATTATTGTTTAAGGTTGACGGACACGCATGTCTTAATTAGTTTTTTTTTTTTTTTTACGAATTGGTCAAACTCAAACTCAAACAAAAACATTGTTTTCAATTGTTATGAGTCTCCCGATTGAATAGAATTTTATTATAAACAATTGCCTTGTAAATGGAATTTTTAAAGCATTCTGAATGTAAAAATAAAGAAAAAAGTGTGCAAGACAATAAGAAACACTAAAAAAAGTGAAGTTTTGTTGAAATCGGTTGAAAAATATAGGAAATCCGATCCCATATATAAACGAATACACACATACACACACACACAAACAACCTGGGTTTTATAATAAGTATAACTCGATATGAGTTGTCCCCCTTTCATTCAGGCAACAGCGATGCCTCTTAATCGTGTTTTCAAATCGATTTTGTGCAAAAACAATTGTGTTTTTCCAATTTTGGGTGCTGTCAGAACCACCGCAAGGTAATTTTACGTAGTCCTGTGAAGTTTTGTTGAAATCGGTTGAAAAATGTAGGAAATCCGATCCAATATATAAACGTACACACACACACACACACACACAACCTGGGTTTTGTAATAAGTAAGATGAAGTTTCACAGCTTCTATCGAAATGTCCTGCAACAGAGTTCTCGTCGAATGATGATTTAAGATTTGTTTCAAAAAACAAAACAAATTTATTTAATATTAAACTTCTAACAACGAGTTTATTTACGCTATCTACACGCGCAGTTTTAAGTTCACTGAAGAAATTGGTAATTCCCAAAGAATTTTGAGCCAATTAATATTGAAGTAATCTTACAGATTGTGTTTTGAACTAGAATAGGGGGGGAGGCGTGAAATTGCGCCTCCCTTAATGCTGTGACCAAGTAAATGGTTAAGTACACCAGATGAGTATTACACGACTAGAAAGAGTGTATCGAATGAACTAGCACTCGACATTATTCCCGCGAAGCCTTCTCTCCTACTAAATTTATAGTAGGCGGAAAAGTATAACATTGACTCTTAGAGAGAGGACACCATAACACTTTAATTCGTTAATATTTTCCACCGGGGATTTTGCGCATGTGTTCGTTCCAATTTCCCTGCGAGGCACAGAAACAGCATTCATTCAGAAATTGATCATGAGACGACGGGCAGCGGAGTTACAATTTGACGCAGTTTCTTTCCACAACGAAGACCGAATCTAAACTAATGGAAATTAACTTATTTTTCGCCCACAAATATTTTTCTAGACACTACAAGGATATTAAAAAGATGATATATAAAGTGAAATTACTCATAAACTTCGCTGGTTCTGCGTACGTACCTTGTTTGAAAACTGAACTGCCTATTTGATGACAACTAACAGTTTCTTTTTTGCTGTTTCTTTTTTCTTTTAAATTTCTGGTTTAATTTTTTTTGTAATGACTAAAGATTTTATAGCGGGTAATAAAAAAAAACGACTCTGACCCTCAAATAAGTTTTTGAAGCAAGGTCAAAGTGATCCAGTTTCTATTCATCATCTCAATGCACTAAGTTTAATATACTTATTGAGTTTAAACCTCAGCTGATTTCATTTTTTAATATTTTTTTATTATTATTTTTAAGTAGTTTACTCAGCTCCCCATTCAGATTAAATAAATCATTTTTCTTGAGATTTTTTTTTTATCAATCTCCTTTCCTGCAATATGGCTTTACATCATTTATCATTAAGCCACTTTTGCGTGGTTTCATTCCTCAGTAGGTTAAGGATCGCCATTATCTTGTTACAAACTTCGTACACCACACAACAAATCGGGGATAACCAGTGCAGTAAAAATTTTTTACTATAATCCAGCAAAAGAAAAAGACCTAGAAATCTTGAAAATCAACATTCAAAATTTCGACTGCTAACTGGACTTGAACACTGACCACCGCAGTACGAAATTCAGAGATAAGTCAGATTTTAAAATTAGTAAATTTAGCAAACATGTGGGACACTTGGTGAGGATTACTGTAGTAATAATAGTTTTTATGACTAACATTAAGCCTAATGTTGTCCAAATTGATTTGGGGAGGAGAATTTATAGTGGGTTATCAGTTATAGTGAAGTGTATGAGTGTTGAAACAGATTAGTCTGATTTGGCCTTGTTAGTCAGATAGCCCACCATAAGAGGGATATAAAACAAGAAAATCAAATTGTAAAGTGAAACAACAAATTTATATACATATAAATCAATTAAGACCTTTACAAATAAAATTAATGTATTTTGGTTGATACATGGTCATCAAAATGTTCGTAGTAGTCCTTGCAAGAATGTGTTTATGTGTACGGAGGCAGGAACGTATGTGTGGATGTATGAACGTTATCGTAGAGTAGGAATGTCTTTGAAGTAATCGTTCAGTCTTAAAATGTTCCGTTCGTTTATCAAATATAAAAGAGGTGAGGGAGAAAGGTAGAGATAATAATAACGATCGTTTCACGTTTGTCAAGGGACGTGTTAATACGCTCGTCTCCTTCTCTCTGGTGACAGGCGAAATTGCCCGTCTTTTATTTTGTTTGTGGGGCTTGAAAAGGTCATTTGAGAATTCACTCCCGGATATGATTCGGGCCTTTCCATTGGACGACGATCAAACTTCACGTCTGCTCGCGAAAAGGTCCGTAAAAGAATTTGTTTCTCAGAATTGAAGATTATTTGAATTTTGTTTTTAAATGTTTCCTTGTTTTCTATTGGCTCAAAAACATTTTGCATCAAGGTGTGAAATTTCACGAGATTCGTTTTGGATTCGCTTTTGCGTGTGTGTTAAGCAAAGTTTGTAAATTCGAGTCTTTTTTAATTTCTAACAAAATCAATGAGTCAGTGTTTAGCATTTGAATTTTAAATCTAGATCTTGTTTTGTTCACTACAGAAACAACGTAGTCTCTTGTTTTTTTTTTCTTTGTTTTTTTTTTATTAGCTCTTTTATAAGATTTTTCTATTATTATTTGTTGTCAGCAAGAAAGAAAAACAAAGATTAGAACTACGAACTGGATATATGAAAATCAAGCAAAATTAAATAATCTAGAAAGTGTTTTAACTGATAAGAGAAAGTAGGACACGAGAACCCAAAGGCGTATTAGAACAGCGAAAGATGCCTTCCATAAACAAATCAAAATAATATGAAAATTTCGTTAGAAACAACAAAAAGCCTTTATTATAGTTGTGTATGAGCCATTTTGAAAACCGAATGTTTACAACTACGTCCGCTTGTTAGGTATAAAAGTCAGAATGATTTCCCCCCTGAACTGAATTAGTCACACTGTCATTATTTATCTGGTCGTAAACAATTTAATTTTAATTATAAAGCACAATTTCAACCCCTTCGTATTTGTTCCTTTCCTTCTATGTGTCTTCTGTTCGTCCCCCAGGACGTTGGCGATCATGGCTCTCCACTATTTCCTGTCTTTTGCAGCTCTTAGTAAATGTTGTCTTTTCTCTGTCTTAATCCCTATCCTACCAACCATTTACATAAATTCGTTTCTCTTCTTCTATGTACCGTGTCCCTTCAGGACGTTGGCGATCATGGCTCTCCACCATTTCCTGTCTTTTGCAGCTCTTAGTAAATGTTGTCCTTTCTCTATCTCTCTTAATCCCTATTCTACCAACCATTTACATAAGTTCGCTTCTCTTCTTCTTGTATGTCCCTTCGGACGTTGGCGATTATGGCTCTCCACAATTTTCCGTAGCTCTTAATAAATTTTATCTTCTGCTATATTTACGGTGAACATAACATTAATGAACTGCTATGATTTGGAAAGGCTACCATCCATATTTTGGATGCAAAATCGGTTACCAAGAAAAGACATAGGCTGCTCAATATTCGAGCAAGGCATCTTCGCAAGTGGTTTAACAGGAAAAGGAAATTGATTTTTTGTTTTATGCTTTTCATCTAAAGTAGGCATCAGTCAGTCTCGGGAGATTATGCCGTTGTGTTCTGGATGATATTTCAGACATAATGTCTAGTGGGCTGCTTTCCAGTGCACAAGGGTAGAAACTGGAGGACAGACTGTTATCTATGCAGTAGGTACCCCGTTCTCTTCGATGTTTAAATCGTCCAATGAAAAGGCAGATTCTAATACGCAAAATCCCAGCATCGTAGCAGAAGTTGTCATGATATTGCTGAATACAACCACGAACTGCCTTAGGTATTCTGATTCCAGAATTTTCCTCGGGGGGGGGAGCCTTTCCCATGAGTAAAAAGACTTCTTTTATATTTTACTTCCTTTTATAATCTATTTTTAATTTTCTTTTAAACAATTTTACATTCATATGAATATAAAAGAATTAAAATAGTCGGGTGTGAGAATGTGTTTGCCTCTATGAGAGTGTGAGTGTGTGTGAACAAGAAGCAGTTTATTAAACTCAATGTGGTCGCAAGCATAAGAACCGCGAAATTAATTAACATCGAGTCTGGTTACTATTTCGATGGGACACCGTTTGGGAATACCAGATACCGTCAGCTTGAAAAGATAGAAGG